AAAAAAAAGGAAAGTAAGAGAGGAATGGAAGATAGGTTTTGGTTTTTGGAGTGGCAGGGTTGAAAACAAGGAAGAAAAATCTGGAAGGAAAATAGAGGATTGGGAGGTAGTGGTGATGATGGAAACATGGAAGAGGAAAGGGAGGGAGGGGGTGGAGGCGAATTAAAAAGAGGTTACCGAAAGGATATAGATGGGAGAAGCAAGCAGCAAAAAAAAGAGAAGAAAGAAAAGAAAGGAAGACCGATGGGGGGGAGGTGAGAAATTTTTAACGGAGGGATATAGGTAAGAAAAAAAGAGGAGAGGGAGGGGAGGATAACCACATAATACAGGAGGAAGAGGGGGAATACGGTGATAAAGACTATGGTGGTGGGAGAGGATAGAGTAAGGAAAAGATTAAAGAGAATGGATGTGAGATAACATAGAGTCGGACCATCACCCTTTGATTGTAACGTTAGAAAGAAGAGGAGGTGCTAAAAAAGGGAAAAGGAAGGAAGGAAAAGGAATAAGAAAAAAGGGGAAGATGGACGAATAGGGAGGAGAAAGAATAAGAGAGGAAATAGAATGGGGATAGGGGTGGAAAGAGGGAATAGAAGAGGAGCTAGAGGAAAAAATAGGAAGGATAGAAGAGGAATTGAGAGAAGAGAGAGAAAAAGAGTGTGGAGAAGGAAAAAAGAAAGGGTGGTTGGATGAGGAATGTGAGGAGAAAGAAGGAAAGAAGTGAGGAGAAAGCTAAGGGAATGGGAGGAAGAAAGGAGGAGGAGGAGAAGGATACAGAAAAGAAAGGGCAGAATATAAGCTAATTGTGTAAAGGAAAAAGGGAGGAGGAGAGGATAAGATGGTACAAGTAAGCGATAGAGGCAAGAACGGAAGAGAGGTATGGAAAATTATAAACAGGGAAGGAAAAGAGAGAAGGAGTGAATGAGGAGATAAAAGCGGAAGAGTGGAAGGAATATTTCATGGACTTATGGGAGGGGTAAGAGGTTAAAGTTGTAAGAGGAGGAGAAGAGAAAAAGGAGAAGGGAGGAGTGAGGAGGAGATAAGCAGGGGGGAAGTAAAGAAGGGATATTGGAAAAAGGAAAATTGAAGAAAGGAAAAGCAGCGGGGGAGGATGGGATACCGAGTGAGGTATGGAAATATGGAGGGAGAGAGGGTAGAAGAGTGGGTATGGGAAATGTGCAACAGAGTCTGGAGAGGGGAAGGATGGCCGGAGAGGTGGAAAGAGGGGATAATAGTACCACTGTTAAAAAAGGGAACGGGGAATAGGGTGGAAAACTACAGAGGGGTGACTTTGATGCCAACGTTATATAAGGTGTATGTGGGGATTCTAACAGAAAGGTTAAAGGAGGAAATAGAGAGGGGGAATATGTTGCCGGAGAGTCAAACAGGCTTTAGGAAGGGAATGGGGGTGATTGACAGTATATATGTGCTAAACTACCTGATCAATAAAAAAGTGAAGAAGAAGGGAGGTAAGGTAGTAGCGGCCTTCATAGATCTGAAGGCGGCGTTTGACTCAGTGGATAGGGAGGTGTTAATGGAGGCGATGAGGAAGAGGGGGGTAAGAGAAGGGTTAAGTAGTAGGATAGAAGAGGTATACAAGGAAACGAGGAGTAAAGTAAGAGCGGGGAAGGAGGAAGGAGAAAACTTCTGGACGGCAAGGGGTGTGAGGCAAGGTTGTCCAATGAGCCCACACTTGTTCAATTTGTTGATAGCGGATATAGAGGAAGTGCTGAAAAAAGGAGGCTGGGGAGGAGTAAAGTTGGGAGGGGAAAAAGTGCACTGCTTGGCATATGCTGATGACATGGTGTTGTTGGCGGAGGAGGAGGAGGGGATGATACATATGTTGGGGAAAATGGAAAATTACATGGATAAAAAAAGGCTAGAGGTAAATGTGGATAAGACAAAAATAATGAGGTTTAGAAAGGGGGAGGAAGAATGAGGAAAATGGAGTGGAGATGGAAAGGGAAAAAATTAGAGGAAGTGAAAGAGTTCAAGTATCTAGGATATAAGTTACAAAGGAATGGAGGACAGGAGGCGCAGGTGAGGGACAGAGTGAGGAAAGCAGGAGCGGTGATGAGACAAGTATGGGGTATGGGAAAGAGAAGATTTGCAGGAGACTGGATGAAAAGAGTATGGTTAATGGAAAGGTTGGTGGGAACGGTGATGGAGTATGGGGCGGAAATATGGGGGTGGAAGGAGAGGAGAGAAGTAGAGGCAATGCAGGAAAGATGGATTAGGTGGACGCTAGGAGTAGATTGGTGTACGCCGGGGTATATGGTAAGAGAAGAGATAGGAAAGGATAAATTCAGGATAAGAGCAGGAAGAAGAGCGATAGGGTATGAGAAAAAATTAGAGGAAGGAATGGGAGGAAGTTTAGCGAGGAAATGCTATGAGGAGATGAAGGAGAGGGTAAAGGAAGGAAAGGAGAAAACGGTGTGGGAGGAGGAGAGGGCAAAATTTTTTGAAGGAAGGGGGATAGAAGAGAGGGAGATGGAGGAAAAAAGAGAAGGGGGGAGGAAGTATATGAGGGATGGGAGCAGAAGGACAGAGAAAGGCAAAAGGAGGAAAGATGGGAGAAGATAAGAGAGTCGAGATACAATAGATGGTATGGAGAATGGAAGGAGGAGGGTTTACCGGAATACTTGAGAAAGGGATGGGGGGAAAGCAGATGGAGAAGGATAGTGAGGTATAGAATGAACAATGAAATGAGGGGGGCGAGATACTGGGAAGAGGAGGGGAAAAGAAGATGCAGACTATGTGGGATGGAAGACGAAACTTGGGAACATGTAATAGGAGAATGTGGGGGAGAGGGGAATAAGGGAAACTGGTGGGAAAAAATGAGGGAAATACTGCAAGAAGGAGGAGAGGGAGAAGGATGGATGAGGGAATTAGAGAAAAAGAGGATGGAGGGGAGGGTGGAAGGGGAAGAGGAGGAAGGAGGTATGAGGAGAATGTGTGAAAGTATGAATGAGGTGTTGGGGAATGTATGGGGAACTGGAAGCCGAGGCGAAGCGAGAAATAGGTTAGGGACAGCTCTTTCTCTCTCTTAATTAGTAAATAGGTAGATTAAGTTAGAGATAAGATAATTGTAAGATAGATGTAAGAGTAGAATGTAAGAGTAGTCTATAAGTGAAGATTGTAAGAAATTTGTAAGGTTTGGGTACGCTCCTCAAAAGCGCCTTTAATCCCTGAGGGGGCAAATAAAGTATTGATTGATTGATTATACCTATTTTTTTAAAAATATTATATAAACATCTTTAGCACCTCTAGGCCACTGTCTCTTTTTTACTTCAGAAATATTTATAAAAAATATTATTGAAAAAATCAATATTAAAGGTTATATTGAGAAACGATTAGAAGCCAAACAAATTGTACGTTGGTGCATATGTATTAGGAAAAATTATATTCGCAATCAACAATCTTAGACAAATTAACTGCGCTATGTGGCGAATCTAGACATACAGCCTCATCTGAAAATTATTTTATTGAGTCTACATATCATCATGATGTAAATCCATTGGAACCTTTGATAATGAATGTAAAAAAAAGTAGTAAACATATTACCATTAACAACAGAACAAGCTAAAAAATCTTGGTCGTGTAATATTTCAGACTATAAAACTATTTCAAAATACGACGGTCCTCTTTGCTTATTATAGATAAAAATAACTATCTTGTATTTTAAGTAAAAAATATTTTTTTGAACTTCACGAATAATGCAGAATGTAAAGCGTTGTCATGAAATTGCTAATATATTACGAAACCTTTTTTTATATAGGACTGATCGAAATACAAGATTAAATGATTAAATAGTAATAGTCATAAACTTGATATTATAAAAATCTATTTAGGAATAATTTTATAACTACTTTATTTTATATCGAATTAGTATTATTTATTACCTATTTTTTGTAAAAATATTATATAAACATCTTTAGCACCTCTAGGCCACTGCCTCTTTTTTACTTCTGCATCATCTATTTCGATCCAAATATTAGATAATCCTTCTCTACATATGCTTACATAATGACCTTCATCGGTGCACGAACTATCATAAAGTATAGCACTCATCGTCTTGTACAATTGTCCCGCTATTAATACTTTAATTGTTGGAACAGCACATAAATTAAATTTGTTTTCTGCTTTTATTAATTTACCATCTTTTGCTAAAAATATTATTAAACGAATAACAATTATTTCTCTTGTTAATGTTACTTCATTTTTAAATATTTGATCAGTTCCAGTACAATATTCACATGATTCGTTGTGTAAGTGAAACCAATGTGAAAATGTATAATTTAATAATTCATTAAGATTACAACTTTTTTTCTTTAAATTATCAAGGGAAATTGAAATAGCAATATTATTTTCAACCATAGTTTTTGTATTACCACATGTTTTGCATCGCTTGGTAGAAGTTACTTGATGTTGTATCAAATTTGTAATGCAATCATATTTTTCGCAAAGTGCCGTAAGAAAATCGTACGCGTTTCGTCTTACCATACTCGAAAAATATTCTCCTAAACATTGCCGTATTGCATATGTATTTAGATTTCGCATTCCATTTTCATATCGATGCATTAATATACGTAAAATGTCTGTTTTATCGCAATTAATCAACTGCTGCCTAATAATATTTAAATGTAATAAACATTGCAATACTGTATTTGCATAACATGAAATCTTGTCTGTATTCTGAAAACCACGTATGATCCAAGCAGTGCTTTGAATTCTTTTATTTGAAACCATATGTTGAATTTTTCGATCTGAATTTGATTTTTGAACAGAAGTAACTATTTTTGGTAACGCCCATGGAACATCTTTTACTTTACGACAACGTTCTTTTGACACAGCAATCATTTCTGCTTTCGGATTGTATATCTGTTTTAAACGATTATATTCAATAATAGCTTTTTCGTTAGCTATTACTGCTGAAGGATCAAAGTTTATTAAATTCACTCCTTCTAGAGATGTTACTCGCGACAAGGCAACATAAATTTGACCACAACTAAATACAGAGTTGCCAATATCCATAACAACACTTTGCAAACTTAATCCTTGGCTTTTATGAATAGTGATGCCATAACTTAAAGATAATGGAAATTGTTTTCGAATCACATACGCTCTATCCAATACCTGAAATTTAGCCGTTACTCTTTCAATTTCATATTCTAAACCTGATGGTAAAAGAAGTTTAATCTTTTCTACGTCATCAGTAGATGTTTCTCGTACAATTGAAATTACTTTAGCAATTGTACCGTTTACAAGACCCAAACTGGCATCGATGTTACGCCGAATCATAACTTTTGCTCCAATTTTAATTGTAATTTGTTTTGAAAGTCCAGCTGTTCGAGAACTATCATCATCGTTATTTGACAATACTTTTAATACTTTCTTTTTTACATATGTTGTACAATCAATCGTATCTTCAGCAATTAATAATATTTCTTTGGAAGTAATGCGACTTAACATTGCATTATTAAGGACATCACACATATTACAAGTAGGAAATAAACAAACAGTGTCCGATGATAAACTGTTAATAAAATCACATAATTCATTTAATCTAGATTCGAAAGAATCAGCTTTGAAAAATATTTTTCTACTCTCTAGAATTTTACAATCAGATTTTGTCACTAAACCAATACGAATTCGCGACAATAATTCACGGTATGAATTATCTCCTTGCTGACGCATATTGATTATCAATTCATCATATTCAAATAATGTAATCCATAAATTAACAGCATTTAAAGAACCAAGATAATTAGCAATTTTTTTATCGGATAAATGTGTAAAGATAAGATCTTCGCGTACAGGAGGCAATTGAAGCAAGTCTCCGAATAAAAGAATATGCTTTCGACCAAACCAACCATCATCGCAATCACTAGTATCAAATATCTCAGATAATCTAAGATGAATATATATTAAAGTCAAATTAGATATCATTGACACTTCATCAATTACGAAAAGAATAACATCTTTAAGATCTGTTCGTAAAACTTTTAATACACAATCAGATAATTGTTTATACTTATGAGTTTGACCATGTTCAACAGGTAATTGAAGCAATCTATGAATTGTCAAACCATCTATATTAAATGCTGCTATACCAGTAGGTGCTGTTACAGCAGTATCTTTGTTGATATTTTGTTTTATCCAGCATTTAATAGTCTTGATTAAGAAACTTTTTCCAGTACCACCTTCTCCGCTAACATATAATCGTAATATTGATTTATCGGACTCTACAGCATTGGTAACTTTATCAAATACTCGTTTTTGATCCGTATTTAATTTCACTATCATGTCAGATACATCAATTTCTTGAATTGCTCTATCACCAAGATCTTTAAAATCTTGCATTGCTTCACCAGCCTCTATATTTTGAATACCTATTGCATTTTCAGGATCATCCTGAGACTGCTCTTTTTTCAAATCGTCATCTAAACATTGCTGAACTAACTGTTTTGCAGTTTCAAATGCTTTTTGCAATTCTTCTAATTTTTCATGATATTGCAATGCTTCTACAAGATGCAGTTTTACTTTGTGAAACGATTCGGTATAAGTATCGCATTCATTTTTAAGATCCTCTAATTTTCGCCATGGTTTAAACATAAGCAATAACGCAAAGAAATAATTTTCAGGCTGTGTATTAACATTATATCTAAAATGATTAATAAGATATCCGCGCTGTCGCCGTTTAAGATAACAACCATTACCTATTTTATAATATTCAATAAACTTATTTTTCGGTTTGATCTTTGAGATATCGTACCACTGTGCAAATTCATAAAGAGACGTATTTTCTAATTCGTTTGGTCTATGTGGATAATGATCATCTGTCAAAGATTGATAAAATATATCTGTAGATTCAGGATCAAGAGCTTCAATTTCTTTACGATTTTTTAATTTTCTATATCGTATTTGATTAACATCTAACCATCTGATGGTTGTATTTCGATCAGTTCCATACAAAGGAATACCTAACAATGTATCAGCAGCTTCGAGAGCTCCACATTCTCTATTATTCGTAAATCGCAAAGCAATATTCCAAAGATGACTCGCTAATGATTTGTTTTTGTTATCCTTACTATCAAGAATATTCTCAGATAATTCACTTTTTCCCGCTTTATTCATATATTTAGTAACATACCAGGTTAGCAGCGATGATTTTTCACCAATAAATTGTATATCCATATTACCTTCCCATGCAGTAAGAAGAACAGGATTATAGTCATTTATGTTACCTTCATTATCTGTTCGAGGAAGATCGTAAAGTCTACTTTTATGTTTCAATTGTTTTCTACCGGCTATCGAAGTTGCCACATCCCTGATATTCAAAGTTTCAGTAACGGGACGAGGAAATCCAAAACGACATCGACGAATAACTTTACGTCCTACTTTTTTAGAACGAAGACAATAATCATTATGTGTATGTCGCTGATGCGTATCAACACGTCTGTACAACAATGGCGAAATATTTTGATCCGGTATTGTGCAGCTTATATGTTGTGAAATAAATTTGGAAACTTCCTCAATAGTAGATTCACCGAAAATTGGTGCATTTTTAATCCAAATTATTAAGTGAAAATGTTGTATACCTCTACCTTGATATTCTCGTCGCCAGAAATAGTGCGTTACTTCTCCAATTGGATGATCTTTAGATCTAATAAAGTCAAGCATTGCCCGAAACTTATTATCGAGAAACCTGGATGTTGATACTGGATCTCTAACAACGAGTGCGCTAACGCTTAAGGAAGCGTCATGCCATTCATTTACTTCACGAATATATTCACCTAAATCTTCCCACAACCACTCACTTGGACTGAGTGTTAAAAACCATGTCGCAGGTCCATAATGCTGCGTCATACAATTTAAATCATTTCTCGGTTTACACCAATATTGCTCCGTATTTCGAAGTGTGGCAAATATTGTACTCAAATTAGATTCCAACAATTCTTTCGACATTGCGTCTAGGTATTCTGCAGCTGTATAACGAAGTCGCGGATTAGTTACATTCATTTTATGAAAAATTCCACGACTTAATTGACGCATATTTGCATCGTTCAATAAATAAAATACATATTGTAGATTTAATCTATACTGTGGATGTTTAGATGTCAAACGACATTTAATAAATTCATGATCATCAAGTTTAACTTGTCTAATCTCACGTTGTCCATTAATACCAGAAGAATATAAATCTGGAAAACACATTAAATCTAAATGTTGCTCACGATTGTTCAGAGGCAAGTCATGAATTTTTAACATTTGATATAAAACTGTCGCAGTTTTATTTGCTTTCTTTTCATATAAGGGATAGATGGTATATTGTTCGTAATAACCATCGTTTTCAGCATTAGTCACTTGAGTCAACATTGCTTTCCGTTGACCTTCTAACATATCATTTTTTATCTCTTCTATCGGATCATTTAATAATTCAGTCTCATCATCAGCTACTTCTGCATTACCTTCTGTCTCATTTAATAATTCAGTCTCATCATCAGCTATTTCTGCATTATCTTCTGTCTCATCTTCTATTTGAAATTCTGAATTTTTTAATATTGGTAAACGTAAATCATTGTAATCATTTGGCAATATAATATGAGAATATAAATTATTGTTGCGCTTTAACCACGTTAAAGCGTCAAATACTTTTTTAACATCAACTACCTCTTCCCAAATAATCTTTGATTTTGTCGGGATACCTCTAACTAATATATATAACTCATGATTAATATTTATTGGATCAGTATTAGAACATAATTTATTCAATGTCTCCTGTAACGGAAGTGGTAAATGAAATGTTCTTGAATTAAGGCCATGTGTAACGAGCAATACGATATTATTTTATTATTTAGAGGAAAATTCTTAATTTGAAATAATAATTACACAAACGTTTCGAGCACTACTTGCTCCTCTTCAGTGCGCAAAAAATAGTGATAATAAATAACGATAATAAATAAATACATAAAATTCTAATAAAAAATCCGCAATACATAGTCAATATAAGTTATATAGTTAAGTCATAGTTATAACGCAAAATATATTTACAATGAATTGAAACCATTAAAATAGTTCGACAAAGTAAGACCCCAATTAGAAGCAGAATGATTCGTCCGGTTATTCATAAAATATTTTAGAATTCTTAATAAAAACTCGGAGTGACACTTATACATTACTCCAAACGAACCACTTATCGTTATTTGACGAAAGTCCCTCGATCTGGCAATGATTATGTCCATCCTCTCCAAATTATTTGATATTTGTTAACTGAATTTAAAGAATTTATTCAATTGTAAAATAGGATTCCACTAATGTGTATGTAAAAAAGATTAAAAATTACAAATTAAATTAAATACTAAAATATTGAACCTTTATGCTTACAAATTGTTCCGAATAACTTGAGATGACGATGCTTCTAATTGTTGTTGGCCTTATTGTTAGTACTTGACTGTTGTCTAGTCTTTTAAAAAATCGAATAAATAGGTGTCAGATCTCACAAAATAAACATTTACATAAGTCTAAAAATTCGATATTTCTTCTAGAATGTCGAAATACGCGTTGTTAAGTAATTCGGTGTCTGTGTTATTATTTATACCATGCCTTTGTTCCTTGATGTGTATCATTTCCGAGATAAGTCTTTTATAATAATTAGATTCAACATCAAGTATTTTAACGTTATCCCAATCAAAAGCATGTTTTTTATCTATAATATGTTCAGAGACCACAGAATGCTTGGAGGAATCAAATTTGATATTATTCATATGCTCTTTTAGTCTAGTGCGTAATTTTCTTTTTGTTTGCCCAACATACGAAGCTTCACAATCCTTACAATTAATTTTGTAGACAACATTATTATTATTGTTATGCACGTTTTTGTCCTTGTGGACTTTGATTAATTTGTTAAGATTATTTAGACAACGGTATCCTACTCTGAAATCTGATTTTTTTATTGTCGATGCTATTGTCTCAGAAATGTTATTAATGTATGGAATGACGAAAAATTTTTTCTTTCTATTATCTTCTGCAATTTCTTTTTTTCTATTGTTGTTAAACTGACCATTGTTTAAAACTCTTATTCTCTTATTTATTTCTTTAAAGATTAAATGAATAGGGTAACCGTTGTCCAATAATATTTTAATACACAGTTCTAAATTTTTCTTATGATATATGGGATGAGATAATAACAATGCCCTATTAATAAGATTATAAATTACTCCTATTTTATGGCACATAGGGTGACTCGATAAAAAAGATAGTACTCTACCTGAACATGTCTTTTTTTGAAACCAATCTAAGTGTATGACGTTATCTATTATTTTAATGTTTAAATCTAGAAAATTTATGCTTCTATTAATTTCGTATTCAATCGTAAATTGTAGTCGTTGATTGTAACTATTAAACTTATTCAGTAAACTATCAATTTTATTCTTTGGTGCCACCATAATAATGTCGTCTACATATCTATAATATATTTCGATACCAATGTCCAATTCATTAATTATTGATTCTTCAAGATCTTGCATAACAATATTAGCAATTATTGGCGATAACGGGGAACCCATAGGTGTGCCATAAACTTGCTTGTATACAATGTCATTGAATGTAAAGTATGTTGACGACAATATAAATTTAACCATGGAAATGAATTCATTTTTTGGAATTAATGTGTGTGTATTGATATAATTCCATCTATTGCTCACACTTTCTATTGCAAGATCTATCGGAATGTTAGTGAATAGTGAAACCACGTCTAATGATATTAGAATATCTTCCGCACCAATTTTCTTACCCGCTAGCTTGCTGTAAAGTTCAAAACTATTATTAACATTACTTTTTCCCGTAGGAATACTATTTGAAATGATTTTATGTAAAAATGTGGCTATCGAGTAAAGCGTGGTATTAATCGATGACACAATTACTCTAAATGGAGTATTCTCCTTGTGTATTTTTGGGAGACCATAACATTTTGGAAGAAGGGAGTCGCTGGAACGTAGTGAGTAATATTCTTTATTAGAAATGTACCCTTTTTTTTGCCATTTCTTAAGAATATCGTTTAGTTCCTTTTCTATTTTGGAGGATGGGTTCTTTTTTATGATAGAATAGGTGCTATTGTCTTCAAGTAAACCTTCCATCTTATTCGTGTAATATTCTTTTGTCATCGCGACTGTTACGTTGCCCTTATCAGCCCTTGTAAAAAGAATATCCGGATTATCATGGCAAAACCTCCTTGTATATTTATGCATACTAATCAAATCTTCATGAGTTGAATTAAACTTAGTTTTGCCGTGTAAAAAATAGGAAAGTTGTGGAACCAGATTGTTACGTAATGTATTTAAATTTTTCATGTTAGAACTAGTGGAATTCCCTTCTATATCTTTGATAAACTCGTGTATGGCCAACTTTTTGTCATTCTTAAACGGCAGGCCGAATTTACTTCCAAATTGTAATAGATTAGTGACATTGGTAGGAATTATTGTGTCAGTCAAATTAATAAACCATTTTTCGTTAGTACTGGTTAGAGGATTAATATGTTTGTCTCTGAATTTATTAGGATATATGACAATGTCTTTGTTTATATTATTGTTTACTGAAATTGTTGATTGTGGAATGTCTATTTTGTTGATGGAATAACTAAGTTTAATCGGTTTGATATTTTTCAGATATTCGTCTTGTTTCTTTTAATTAGCCAATTAAATTTGTTATTATGTTTGTTATGTAGTCTGTTATGAAACATGTCAAATGAGATGAAATGATGTCTTAAAATTTCGTTCCATATGTGTACTGGCAGTTTGTTAGCCACATATCTTGAAATATTGTAAAGTTTACAATGTAATAAATTAATTAGTCTATATAAATCTCTGATTTCAATATTTAAAATTTGTTTTTTGAATCTGTACAGCAAGCTATCAAGTCTTTTTTTCGATCTAAAGTGATGTAAACAAAATTGATTCCCACAATACGACGTCAAGTGGTTAGGTAAGACATCAAATTTTTACAATGTTTTAAAAATTCAACTTTGATCTAGCTTTGATTATTTGATAATTTAAATCAATCCATTGCTTTAACCTCCATGTTATTACTCCCCCAAATGATTTACTCGATAGCCACATTTTTACATAAAATCATTTCAAATAGTATTCCTACGGGAAAAAGTAATGTTAATAATAGTTTTGAACTTTACAGCAAGCTAGCGGGTAAGAAAATTGGTGCGGAAGATATTCTAATATCATTAGACGTGGTTTCACTATTCACTAACATTCCGATAGATCTTGCAATAGAAAGTGTGAGCAATAGATGGAATTATATCAATACACACACATTAATTCCAAAAAATGAATTCATTTCCATGGTTAAATTTATATTGTCGTCAACATACTTTACATTCAATGACATTGTATACAAGCAAGTTTATGGCACACCTATGGGTTCCCCGTTATCGCCAATAATTGCTAATATTGTTATGCAAGATCTTGAAGAATCAATAATTAATGAATTGGACATTGGTATCGAAATATATTATAGATATGTAGACGACATTATTATGGTGGCACCAAAGAATAAAATTGATAGTTTACTGAATAAGTTTAATAGTTACAATCAACGACTACAATTTACGATTGAATACGAAATTAATAGAAGCATAAATTTTCTAGATTTAAACATTAAAATAATAGATAACGTCATACACTTAGATTGGTTTCAAAAAAAGACATGTTCAGGTAGAGTACTATCTTTTTTATCGAGTCACCCTATGTGCCATAAAATAGGAGTAATTTATAATCTTATTAATAGGGCATTGTTATTATCTCATCCCATATATCATAAGAAAAATTTAGAACTGTGTATTAAAATATTATTGGACAACGGTTACCCTATTCATTTAATCTTTAAAGAAATAAATAAGAGAATAAGAGTTTTAAACAATGGTCAGTTTAACAACAATAGAAAAAAAGAAATTGCAGAAGATAATAGCAAGAAAAAATTTTTCGTCATTCCATACATTAATAACATTTCTGAGACAATAGCATCGACAATAAAAAAATCAGATTTCAGAGTAGGATACCGTTGTCTAAATAATCTTAACAAATTAATTAAAGTCCACAAGGACAAAAACGTGCATAACAATAATAATAATGTTGTCTACAAAATTAATTGTAAGGATTGTGAAGCTTCGTATGTTGGGCAAACCAAAAGAAAATTACGCACTAGACTAAAAGAGCATATGAATAATATTAAATTTGATTCCTCCAAGCATTCTGTGGTCTCTGAACATATTATAGATAAAAAACATGCTTTTGATTGGGATAACGTTAAAATACTTGATGTTGAATCTAATTATTATAAAAGACTTATCTCGGAAATGATACACATCAAGGAACAAAGGCATGGTATAAATAATAACACAGACACCGAATTACTTAACAACGCGTATTTCGACATTCTAGAAGAAATATCGAATTTTTAGACTTATGTAAATGTTTATTTTGTGAGATCTGACACCTATTTATTCGACTTTTTAAAAGACTAGACAACAGTCAAGTACTAACAATAAGGCCAACAACAATTAGAAGCATCGTCATCTCAAGTTATTCGGAACAATTTGTAAGCATAAAGGTTCAATATTTTAGTATTTAGTTTAATTTGTAATTTTTAATCTTTTTTTACATACACATTAGTGGAATCCTATTTTACAATTGAATAAATTCTTTAAATTCAGTTAACAAATATCAAATAATTTGGAGAGGATGGACATAATCATTGCCAGATCGAGGGACTTTCGTCAAATAACGATAAGTGGTTCGTTTGGAGTAATGTATAAGTGTCACTCCGAGTTTTTATTAATAATTCTAAAATATTTTATGAATAACCGGACGAATCATTCTGCTTCTAATTGGGTTCTTACTTTGTTGAACTATTTTAATGGTTTCAATTCATTGTAAATATATTTTGCGTTTTAACTATGACTTAACTATATAACTTATATTGACTATGTATTGCGGATTTTTTATTAGAATATTATGTATTTATTTATTATCGTTATTTATTATCACAATTTTTTTGCGCACTGAAGAGGAGCAAGTAGAGCTCGAAACGTTTGTGTAATTATTATTTCAAATTAAGAATTTTCCTCTAAATAATAAAATAATATCGTATTGCTCGTTACACATGGCCTTAATTTAATAATTTATCATTGTTTTTATTGTCATACGAGCTTGAGCATTGGTATGTGATGGTTTGATTAGGTATTAATTTTGCATTGTTTTTTACGCTGGCCTGAAAATGCGTTATACTAATATTCCGTTTAAATTTCATCGTTTTAATTTTAATTTCTTATATAATTCATTTGGGGGAGAAATAACATGGAGGTTAAAGCAATGGATTGATTTACATTATCAAATAATCAAAGCTAAATCAAAGTTGAATTTTTTAAAACATTGTAAAAATTTTGATGTCTTACCTAACCACTTGACGTCGTATTGTAGGAATCAATTTTGTTTACATCACTTTAGATCGAAAAAAAGGCTTGATAGCTTGCTGTACAGATTCAAAAAACAAATTTTAAATATTGAAATCAGAGATTTATATAGACTAATTAATTTATTACATGGTAAACTTTACAATATTTCAAGATATGTGGCTAACAAACTGCCAGTACACATATGGAACGAAATTTTAAGACATCATTTCATCTCATTTGACATGTTTCATAACAGACTACATAACAAACATAATAACAAATTTAATTGGCTAATTAAAAAGAAACAAGACGAATATCTGAAAAATATCAAACCGATTAAACTTAGTTATTCCATCAACAAAATAGACATTCCACAATCAACAATTTCAGTAAACAATAATATAAACAAAGACATTGTCATATATCCTAATAAATTCAGAGACAAACATATTAATCCTCTAACCAGTACTAACGAAAAATGGTTTATTAATTTGACTGACACAATAATTCCTACCAATGTCACTAATCTATTACAATTTGGAAGTAAATTCGGCCTGCCGTTTAAGAATGACAAAAAGTTGGCCATACACGAGTTTATCAAAGATATAGAAGGGAATTCCACTAGTTCTAACATGAAAAATTTAAATACATTACGTAACAATCTGGTTCCACAACTTTCCTATTTTTTACACGGCAAAACTAAGTTTAATTCAACTCATGAAGATTTGATTAGTATGCATAAATATACAAGGAGGTTTTGCCATGATAATCCGGATATTCTTTTTACAAGGGCTGATAAGGGCAACGTAACAGTCGCGATGACAAAAGAATATTACACGAATAAGATGGAAGGTTTACTTGAAGACAATAGCACCTATTCTATCATAAAAAAGAACCCATCCTCCAAAATAGAAAAGGAACTAAACGATATTCTTAAGAAATGGCAAAAAAAAGGGTACATTTCTAATAAAGAATATTACTCACTACGTTCCAGCGACTCCCTTCTTCCAAAATGTTATGGTCTCCCAAAAATACACAAGGAGAATACTCCATTTAGAGTAATTGTGTCATCGATTAATACCACGCTTTACTCGATAGCCACATTTTTACATAAAATCATTTCAAATAGTATTCCTACGGGAAAAAGTAATGTAATAATAGTTTTGAACTTTACAGCAAGCTAGCGGGTAAGAAAATTGGTGCGGAAGATATTCTAATATCATTAGACGTGGTTTCACTATTCACTAACATTCCGATAGATCTTGCAATAGAAAGTGTGAGCAATAGATGGAATTATATCAATACACACACATTAATTCCAAAAAATGAATTCATTTCCATGGTTAAATTTATATTGTCGTCAACATACTTTACATTCAATGACATTGTATACAAGCAAGTTTATGGCACACCTATGGGTTCCCCGTTATCGCCAATAATTGCTAATATTGTTATGCAAGATCTTGAAGAATCAATAATTAATGAATTGGACATTGGTATCGAAATATATTATAGATATGTAGACGACATTATTATGGTGGCACCAAAGAATAAAATTGATAGTTTACTGAATAAGTTTAATAGTTACAATCAACGACTACAATTTACGATTGAATACGAAATTAATAGAAGCATAAATTTTCTAGATTTAAACATTAAAATAATAGATAACGTCATACACTTAGATTGGTTTCAAAAAAAGACATGTTCAGGTAGAGTACTATCTTTTTTATCGAGTCACCCTATGTGCCATAAAATAGGAGTAATTTATAATCTTATTAATAGGGCATTGTTATTATCTCATCCCATATATCATAAGAAAAATTTAGAACTGTGTATTAAAATATTATTGGACAACGGTTACCCTATTCATTTAATCTTTAAAGAAATAAATAAGAGAATAAGAGTTTTAAACAATGGTCAGTTTAACAACAATAGAAAAAAAGAAATTGCAGAAGATAATAGAAAGAAAAAATTTTTCGTCATTCCATACATTAATAACATTTCTGAGACAATAGCATCGACAATAAAAAAATCAGATTTCAGAGTAGGATACCGTTGTCTAAATAATCTTAACAAATTAATCAAAGTCCACAAGGACAAAAACGTGCATAACAATAATAATAATGTTGTCTACAAAATTAATTGTAAGGATTGTGAAGCTTCGTATGTTGGGCAAACAAAAAGAAAATTACGCACTAGACTAAAAGAGCATATGAATAATATCAAATTTGATTCCTCCAAGCATTCTGTGGTCTCTGAACATATTATAGATAAAAAACATGCTTTTGATTGGGATAACGTTAAAATACTTGATGTTGAATCTAATTATTATAAAAGACTTATCTCGGAAATGATACACATCAAGGAACAAAGGCATGGTATAAATAATAACACAGACACCGAATTACTTAACAACGCGTATTTCGACATTCTAGAAGAAATATCGAATTTTTAGACTTATGTAAATGTTTATTTTGTGAGATCTGACACCTATTTATTCGATTTTTTAAAAGACTAGACAACAGTCAAGTACTAACAATAAGGCCAACAACAATTAGAAGCATCGTCATCTCAAGTTATTCGGAACAATTTGTAAGCATAAAGGTTCAATATTTTAGTATTTAATTTAATTTGTAATTTTTAATCTTTTTTACATACACATTAGTGGAATCCTATTTTACAATTGAATAAATTCTTTAAATTCAGTTAACAAATATCAAATAATTTGGAGAGGATGGACATAATCATTGCCAGATCGAGGGACTTTCGTCAAATAACGATAAGTGGTTCGTTTGGAGTAATGTATAAGTGTCACTCCGAGTTTTTATTAAGAATTCTAAAATATTTTATGAATAACCGGACGAATCATTCTGCTTCTAATTGGGGTCTTACTTTGTCGAACTATTTTAATGGTTTCAATTCATTGTAAATATATTTTGCGTTATAACTATGACTTAACTATATAACTTATATTGACTATGTATTGCGGATTTTTTATTAGAATTTTATGTATTTATTTATTATCGTTATTTATTATCACTATTTTTTTGCGCACTGAAGAGGAGCAAGTAGTGCTCGAAACGTTTGTGTAATTATTATTTCAAATTAAGAATTTTCCTCTAAATAATAAAATAATATCGTATTGCTCGTTACACATGGCCTTAATTCAATAATTTATCATTGTTTTTATTGTCATACGAGCTTGAGCATTGGTATGTGATGGTTTGATTAGGTATTAATTTTGCATTGAAATGTTCTACCTTTAACTTTTGATACCATTTGTCTTTGAGGCAACTTTTTATTAATAACAGTTCCCATTTTAAGGACAGTTTGAAACGCTTTAGCTCTCTGTATAAGAATTTTTTCGAATGTATTAAGAGATGATATTACTTCAGGCACCTGATTTGTAAAGAGATTATTTAAGACGCAGTATGCAGGCATTAAGCCTTTACTAAATTTGCCTGCACAATAATTACATATATATTGCGCATCAACTTTTTGTTGTTGTACATACGTCATTAAATCTTTCCAAATTTTAACATGTACTTGTGTCTGTAGACTATTGACTTTAGAAACACTTTTTTTATAACACAATCTCTCGCATGATACACAAACATGTCGTGGTGTGTCCACAGTGCGTTTAGTCAATGCTTTAAATGCTAAACGATATTTAAACATAATATCATCATCACTCAAAATTGTATCAATCCGTTGATGTCTGTACATATCTACTTTCTCCTGTGCATAAGTCACAATTTCATTCAAAGTATTCATATCAGCATTATTTAAAGCATCATCTAGATTTTCCAACTTTCTATAAAAATATGTAAGTTGATAAATTAAACGCTTTATATATCTTACTTTTGGAAAATGAGGCGATAATAATTGAACTGGAAGAAACATTCCTTCGCAAAGTGTTATATTAATATAACAGCTACGCGTATGACCCAATTTCTCATTTGAAATTTTCATTGTACATTTATGAATATTTTGCATAAGTTTTGGTACATTTTTAAAGTACATGTATTTACGGTTTCAAGAAAATTCTGATAACGATCAATTAAAAGCGGATCGTTAATTTTACAGCTTGCAGTATTACACATCAGTTTTGGTTCATTGTTTAAGGTACATGTATTTATGGTTTTAAGAGACTTATGAGAACGGTCAATTAAAAGTGGATTGTTAGTTTTATAGTCTGAAATATTACACGACCAAGATTTTTTAGCTTGTTCTGTTGTTAATGGTAATATGTTTACTACTTTTCCTTTTTCATTCATTATCAAAGTTTTCAATGGATTTACATCATGATGATATGTAGACTCAATAAAATAATTTTCAGATGAGGCTGTATGTCTAGATTCGCCACATAGCGCAGTTAATTTGTCTTCGATTGTAGAACAATCTGCGACAAGAGTCAAATACACTTCTGATTTCTTTTTAATCAAACTTAACATTTTGTATATATTGCGAATATAATTTTTCCTAATACACATGCACCAACGTACAATTTTTTCTGCTTCTAATCGTTTCTCAATATAACCTTTAATATTGATTTTTTCAATAATATTTTTTATAAATATTTCTGAACAATTACGAAGTTTTATGGTATTCTTCGAACAGAATTGTTTATACTTTTTAGTAATTTGTTTAGCAATATTAAAAGTTTTTATTTCAAATGTAGATTTTGTTTTGATTTTTTGTCTTTTTGTCTGATAATATCGCTTATTATAAAGCCATTTGCGATTAGAATCCAATCTTTTTTGTCTATCTCGTTCATATTCAAAGTTTTTCGAATAACGCATACGCTTTTGTGCGCGTTTATTTTCTAAATCTTGTTCATATCGATATCGAACTTTAATGCGTTCATCTTCTAAGTTACGTTGATATCGATTACGCTTTTTAGCGCGATTGTCTTCTAAATTTTGTTTATAACGATTACACTGTTTAGCGCGATTATCTTTTAAATTTCGTCTATATCGATTGCGCTGTTTAGCGCAAATGTCTTCTATATTTTGTTTATAACAATCACGTCGTTTAGCGCGTATATCTTCTAAGCTCTGTTTATACAGATCGTGCTGTTCAATGCAATTATTCTTCGAATCTTGCTCATAAAAATCATGTTGTTTAGCCTGATTTTGTTCTAAATCTTGTGAATAGCGTGCACGTTTATTTACACAATGATTTTCCAAGGCATGCTTCTTAGTTTCTTCATAAATATCATTGTTTGTTTTCATTAAATTATTTGAATTATTTTCTGTTAATTGAAATTGATTATTAATTAACTCTTTTTCAAGTTGGTAAATATGACGTTGCTCTTCTAACCGATTCAAATATTGTCGTTCCGTCTTATATTGACGTATAGTACGTTTACGAGATGCTTCAATCTCTCTTGCTTTTATTACTGCTAATGGAAGCACCTTTTGAGAAGCATATTGTGGATTTTGTGGAAAATGCTCAATAACATTAGATTCAAAAATCTTAATTAAATGCAAACGCATTAAACTATGATCATATTTTATTTTTTCGGGTTTAATATTGAATAACAATGAAATTGCAAAGGCTATTGCAAAAACTCCGCAATCGCTACTGTTTGGTTGGTATTGTACAGTAGGAAATTGGATAGAATTTTTTTCGAAGTTATATGTTGGAAATAATCTTTTCAAGAATTGTTCATGATGTCTATGCAATTTTTTATTATTTAATGAATCATAAATAAATATATTTTTTGTATCATAGTAACTGCACACCCAATGTCCATCTGATGGACCTGACGAACTATGTAATATTTGTATATGTTTTTTATCAATTGGCATAGGCTGAATCGTATCAAGAAGTTGTAATCGCCATGTTTCGACAGGTCTATAATCCGAAAAATTTTGTAATAAATAATCAAAATGTTCCATATGTTTATCAGTTAACCATTCACCTCGAACAATTATATTTTTATCCTCAGGAGATAAAATTCTATATATTTTTGTCTTTATAGACATTTTTATTATATATATATATTTTTTTTTAAATATGTAATAATTTATCGGCGCAAAGCAGCCACTCTTTATCGGTGCAAAGCAGCCACTCTTTAAAGGCGCACAGCAGCTCCTTTTCATAGGCGCACAGCAGCCTTGTATGGGCGCACAGCAGCCACTTTTTATAGGCGCACAGCAGCCACTCTTTATAGGCGCAAAGCAGCCACTACTTTTAGGCGCACAGCAGCCTTGTATGGGCGCACAGCAGCCACTTATTTTTAGGCGCACAGCAGCCGTTTTTTGAAAAACACAACAGGCGCACAGCAGCCTTATAATTTTTTCTTTTCTTCTTTCTTTATCTTCTTTTCTTCTTTCTCGCTCTTCGTTTCTTCTTTCTTGATCTTCTTTTCTTCTTATTGATCTTCTTTTCTTCTTTTTTTCTTTTGATCTTCTTGCACGTCTTCTAAAACCATAAAAAACTTACCTTTTATAAAAAAAGGTAAAAAAAGGCGACAAGTTTACGTGCTCATGTTGTTCGCGAACGCGCTGCGTGAGGAATCGCGCGACACGACAAAGGATGAGTCACTTGTAGTATAAAGAAACCTTTAATATACGAATCTTTACTAAAATATAATGTACAATATTTAACAATTACACGCACAAAATTTACATAAAGTTTAATTAGTTTCAGCGGAGAAATCAAATCAAAAGAAAGAGCGGCGGTTGTCGATATAAATGTTCTGCGGTTTTTTTTGAGGCGGTTTTGACTTACGCGTACACGGCGGAAAGCGATAAGGCCCCTACGCCGGGGTGAGCTCCTCTTTTATAAATTTTGGAGCGGAGCCCACCTTCGCGTGAAGCGCCAATAATTTGCGTGATTTTTAAAGTAGCGCATGCTCAATAGCATGTAATTATTCGGCGGAACGGTTGCGACACCGTTACTTGTTTGTATATTTGAGCGTTTTTTATGTGACAGCTGTAAATTTACGACTTCTTTTTATTCTATTATACAAAACAAACGTGACTTTATTATTACTGATCGATGATTCCAGAATTTACCAAATAACTATTTTCGAGATCGAATTTTGTATAAATTGAAAATCCTAATAACGTTTTACTGCCGAAGTAATTAACAGACGATAAGATTTATTTTGCATCTCAAACATCCCGCCCGCCTTGGCGCAACGTGACAAAAGGTTGATGATGTTTCCGGCGCGGATCACATTCCGATAGCGGTTGATGGTGGGGCGGGCTCGTGTCGGCGCGGCGAAATTCACGTGATGATCGCGTGTTGTGAGTCGATCAGCTGAGTCGACGAAAACACGTGGTGATCACGTGCTGCGAATCGATCAGCTGAAACGGCGAAAGCATGTGGCAGATGTGAACGGCGAGTGAATGATGCAGTGAACGGTGAAAACGAGACAAGTGTTATAGTGAGGTGATGAGTGAAATGAGTGAAGTGTGACAGTTGATATGGTGCATGACGTGATGATCGTGTAGTGAGTGATGCTATGTGTCAACGTGCGGTGTAGGAACGTCGTTCACGCCCGGAAGAAACACGAGCTTGACGAGTGGGCGCACGAGCTCGGACGTGGCCGTTCGGATCGTCACTACGCGTGTAACTCCATCGTCCCCGGGGTGCAAACGCGATATGCGAGCGAGGGGCCAGCGGTTCGGGGGGGTGATCTCGGAGCGAACGAGGCAGAGATCGCCGACGTGGGGTGCAGGTGCATCCTTGAGCCACTTGGTGCGTGGGGCGAGTCCGTGCATGTATTCGGATGACCATCGCTGCCAGAAGTGATCCCTCATCCGCTGCAGATGACGCCAACGTGACAAGGTGGACACCGTCTGCTCTGTCAATGACGGTTCTGACAAGGCGAGGAGCGGTGTCCCGATGAGGAAGTGACCGGGGGTCAGCGCCGAGACGTCCTCTGGATCATCTGAGAGTGCCTGCAACGGACGTGAGTTAAGACAGGCTTCAATTTGTGCAAGGAGTGTGCTCAACTCCTCGAACGTGAGGGTGGTCGCGCCGATCACCCGACGGAGGTGGAACTTGGTCGACTTTACGGCGGCCTCCCATAAACCACCAAAATGCGGGGCCGCTGGCGGGTTGAAGTGCCAGCGGATTCCTTGAGCGGTGGCGGCAAGGATGACACTTTGACCTTCGGCTGTCGCTGCGTTGAAGAGACCTCGCAGCGTCCGATCTGCTCCGATGAAAGTCGTGCCACAGTCGCTGTAGATCTCAGCACACAGGCCCCTGCGGGAGACGAAGCGGCGCAGAGCGGCGATGAAGGCCTCCGAGGTGTAGTCTGAGACGACTTCTAAGTGAACGGCCTTTGACCAGAAGCAGACGAAGACTGCGATGTACCCCTTGTGCGCACGGTGTCCACGCCCCTTGCTGGTCCGGAGGAGGATTGGTCCCGCGTAGTCCAAGCCGGTGCTGAGGAACGGTCGAGTTGGCGTTACTCGCTCCCGAGGAAGGTTACCCATCGGAGGCTGTGGTGTGGCGGCGCGCCATCGAGTGCAGGTTATGCATCGGTGTAGCTGCTGTTTGACGGTGGTCCTTCCTCGAGGCACCCAGAAGCGCAGGCGGAGCAGGCCGAGAGTCAGTTGCACACCTCCGTGCAGCGTCCGTCGGTGGCAGGAATCGATCACCAGCCGAGTCAACCATGATGCCGCCGGGATGATCATTGGATGTTTCTCGTCGAGTGGTAGCTGAGCATGTTTGAGACGTCCTCCGACGCGCAGCACGCCTTGATCATCGAGGACCGGACTCAACATCGCTAGGTGGCTTCGTGGTGGGCTAGT